TCTCTTGTTCATTATGATATTTGGGGTCCTAGTCATGTCTCATCCTTTGGATATATATATTTTGTTACCTTCATTGATGAGTTTTCTAGGTGTACTTAAATTTATCTAATGAAAGACTGTTCTGAATTATTACCTATCCTTAAGTCTTTCCTTAACGAAATCAAAAATCAATTTGGAAAAGTAATCAAAGTTTTACGAAATGATAATGTCAAAGAATACTTTTCTACTAATTTATCCACTCTCTTAAGTTCCCAAGGCATTTTACTCCAGTCTACTTGTCCTCACACACCACAACAAAATGGTATAGTAGAACAAAAAAATAGATATTTGGTTGAAACTGTTCGTACCTTATTACTTGTGCAAATATGCATGTTCATCATTGGGGAGATGTTATTCTTACTGCATGTTTTCTCATTAACAAAATGTCATTTTCTTCTCTTGACAATAAAGTTTCACACTCTATTCTATTGCTAAAGGAGCCACTCTTTCATGCTTCTCCTCGTGTATTTGGTTACGTATGATTTGTTAATGATATGTCTCCAGGTTTAGATAAACTATTAGCTAGAGCCATCAAATGTGTTTTCTTGGGATATTCTCGTCTTCAAAAAGGATATCGATGTTTTTCTCCTAAAACAAAGAGGTACTACATGTTTGCTAATGTCATTTGTTTTGAATCAACTCCCTTCTTTCCTTCTTCTATGCAGGATATTAGTTCGGTCCAAAATGTCTTACCTATACCCTTAGTGGAGTCATTTGTACCTCCTCCTCTTGACACCCAAAATTCCACACAAAATACACCAGAATCCTCATCACTGCCTCTTATTACCTATCAACACATGAGCCAAATGATCAGTCACATGCCTCAAGATGAGTCTTCCTCAGCAGATCCTTCTCAATCATCCCGTAATACCACGATTCCTAATAATGATGATTCAAGTTGGCCCATTGTGATTCACAAAGGTACTTGCTCTACTCGTAATTCACATCTTATTTACAATTTTCTTAGCTACCACATGTTGTCTCCTTCCTATTTTTCTTTTGTTTCTATATCCACTGTTACTATTCCTAAAAATTTGGAAGAGACACTTAATCATCCTGGATAGCGACAAGCCATGATTGATGAAATGTAGGCTTTTGAGCACAATGGTACATGGAACTTAGTTCCTCTTCCACCTGGGAAGAAGACTGTTGGTTGTCATTGGGTTTATGCCATTAAAGTTGGACTAAAAGGTGAAGTTGATCGACTCAAAGCTAGATTAGTAGCAAAAGGCTACACTCAGATCTATAGCATTGACTACAATGTTACTTTTTCTCCTATGGCCAAAATGACAACTGTTCGACTTTTCTTTACTGTGACAGCTATACGTCATTGACCTCTTCATCAGTTAGATATCAAGAATGTTTTCTTGCATAGTGATCTTGAGGAGAAAATTTACATGGAGCAACTTCCTGATTTTGTTGCTCAGGGGGAGTCTAGTTTGGTTTGTAAGTTGCATCATTCTCTCTCTGGTCTCAAACAATCTCCACGTGCTTGGTTTTGAAAGTTTAGTCACATTGTTCAAAGTTTTGGACTAAAATGAAGTGAAGCAGATCATTCTATTTTTTATTATACTGCTTCAGGAAAATGTGTTTATTTAATTGTATATGTAGATGATATAGTCATTACAGGGGATGATGTTGATAAAATTTCTCTGCTAAAGAAACATTTATGCAATCATTTCCAAACTAAGGATCTTGGTTTTCTCAAATACTTTCTAGGGATTGAAGTGGCTCAATCAAAAGAAGACATTGTTGTCTCCCAAAGAAAGTATGCTTTAGATATCCTGAAAGAAACAAACATGATTGATTATAGACCAATAGACAACCCTATGGATCCAAATAAGAAATTAATGGCAGATTAAGTAAACCGCTCTCTGATCCTGAGAGATATAGAAGACTTGTTGGGAAACTCATTTATCTCATCAATACTAGACCTGACCTATCTTTTGCGTTGAAGTTGTCATTCAGTTTATGTAAAATCCACGTAATGATCATTGGAATGTTGTCGATCACATCCTAAAATATCTCAAAAAGGCTGTAAGGTATGTTGTATGAAGATAAAGGGGGTACCCAAATATCTGGGTATTATGATGCTGATTAGGCTGGATCCCCTATGGACAGACACTCCACTACATGATATTGTATTCTCATTGGAGAGTGTAAGGTATGTTGTATGAAGATAAAGGGGGTACCCAAATATCTGGGTATTGTGATGCTGATTAGGCTGGATCCCCTATGGACAGACACTCCACTACATGATATTGTATTCTCATTGGAGGCAACATTATTTCTCGGAAAAGCAAGAAACAAAATGTAGTGACCCGATTTAGTGTTGAAGTTGAATATAAGACAATGACGTCTCTTACTTGTAAACTAGTATGGGTGAAACAATTCCTTCAAGAACAGAAATTTTGTGAGATCCAACATATGAAGATGTATTGTGACAATCAAACAACTCTCCACATTGTCTCTAATCCGGTGTTCCATGAAAGGACCAAACATATAGAACTGAATTGTCATTTTATTCGTGAAAAATTGTTGTCTAAAGAAATTTGCACTGAATTTGTCAGGTCCAATGATTAACTTGCAGATATGTTGACAAAGTCTTTGAGATGACCTCAAATTTAATTTATTTGTTCCAAGCTTGACACATACAATTTGTATGTTTCAGCTTGAGAGAGAGTGTTTTAGAATTATTATTTGGTAGTGGTTAGTAGTTGATTGTTATTTTTTAAATGTTGTAATCCTATATATATATATATATGAGATAATAAAGTGGAGTGATGTATCCCACTAAATATTAAATCTTCTTTTAACTCTCTTTATTCTCTTAATTCTTTGACATGAAATATGAGATAAAATCGGATGAAATGACTCTGTTTAAAAAAATATATTTATATATCAAAATAAAAAATTATAAATATTAAAACTTTTTTGTCATATTTTAAAAATATATAAATGAGTATAATATTATAATTTTAATTATAATTCTCAATTTATTAAATATAATAAATAATTTAATATAAAAATATATTATTTTTTAATTTATTTAATAAAAATATTAATTAATTAATAAAAAAATATTTATATAATTATAAATATATTTTTTAAATAATATTAATGATTTATTAGTCTCATCCTATTTTTATTTTTTTTTAGTGGATGGATTAAAGTATATAACTGGTCATCCACTCTATCCACCTCTTTTACTGGGTTTATTATTAAAGATGAGACCATCTAATATATTATTTAATATTAATATTATATATATATATATATATATATATATTATGAAAATATTTTTTATAATCTAATTTTCAATAGAAAAAATTGGTATATGAATGTAGTTGTAAGGATGATTGGGAATCACATAGTGGGATTGAAGAGATACAGGAGGAAGTTGAGTTTAGTGTAACTGAGCCGGGTCTGTAGCTGAACTAGAAAATTAAGTATGTATTTTTAATGATAAAATAATTATTTTAATAAAATGAAAAAAAAACTCAATAAAAGGTGTGTCTTTTATTAATACAAATGACTTAGATTAGTTACATTTAATTAATTACTGTTAATTTATTATAATAACTAATTTTAAAACATTAAATATTATAAACATTTAAAACATTAAATATATTATAAAAATATAACGTGAGAAATCACTTAGATGGTTAATAACAGAATTCAAGTATCATGAATATATATTATCCATCCAAAATAAAATAATGAGAAAGAAAATACATAGACTTTAATTTTCATTAATTACTTATTATAACTCTATTATAAATTATAATTGGATGCATGTCCCTTTTATCTTAAATAAACGACTCTATTGTGTTTGAATCTCTTGGTAATATAAAGTTAGTTAATAATAATATTAGATTTTAACAAAGAAAAATAAAAATAACAACAATAACTATTAAATAAGTAAATTTTATATTTAATATAATAATTATTTCATGATTATTCAGTTGATGTGAAATAAAAAACTTCTTTTGTTAATTCAGAGATAATTGTGGATGTGAATGACGAAAACCGGTTTAATAGGTTTCTCAGTCCTTAAAACAAGGAAAAAATAGTTACAAATCAAATGATTAAACTTAATTTATCTTTTTGGAGAACACTTCTATACTTATAATTTATTTTAGTGTGACTAGTTTTGTTTATTATAATTCATAAATTAAATGTGCCAATTGCAAAATATAATGTTTTATTTAATCAAAATAAATTGCAATATTTCGAGGAAAATATCTCCCTTTCATGGTACCTACTACGGGTATTATTAATGAGAAATATTAATAATTAAGTAGCTTATTATTTATTATCATATTAAAAATGAATTAATTATCCACGTAAACCAGGTCAAAAATATATATAATATATTTATCTATCATTAATCATTTATCAAATTAGAAAAACAACCCTATACTAATTTTTTATTGCTAGTGTTATTTATTGGGAGTGGCTTACGCAAAAGGAACCCAAGTACAGTTTTTGACCTTTCGTTTTCCGGATCTAGGGTTTCTCCTCTGTGATCATCATCATCTTCCACGCGCACACCCATCATCAAACCCTAGCTACCACCGAAACAATCGCATTTCTCACGCATAAACAAACCTTTCACCGGCCACAGAGTCGGAGATTCACGATCCACACACCCCAGCCAGAGTCGCGATTCGATTTTTTGGAATATTATTTTTTATCCGCCATCACCTTCAATCACGGATCTTAAACTTTCTCCTGAAACAAAACGCCCTAATTTTCATTTTTCTGTTATTTTATATGCACATTACTTCTCTGGTAATGCAAAAATCAGATGAATCTTTAAAGCGTTGTTGACACGGCCATGATGATGAGGATGATGATGATGATGAATACTTTTTCCCTTACTTACACGGAATCTTGACGGAATTTCCAAAGACTTTTGTGTGTTGTTGTGATTTGATTTGAAGGAACAAAAAAAGAGAATGTATAAATCGGTGGTGTACCAGGGGGAGGTGGTGTTGGGTGAGGTAGAGGTATACCCGGAAGAGAACAACTACAAGAACTTCCATGTGAAGGAAATCAGAATAAGCCACTTCTCGCAACCAAGTGAGAGGTGTCCCCCACTTGCTGTGCTTCACACTGTTACCTCATGTGGTGTTTGCTTCAAAATGGAGTCAAAGACTCAGCAGCAGGACGGCCTCTTTCACTTGCACTCCTTGTGTATCAGAGAGAACAAGGTATATAGTAACACTTTAAAAAATTAAAAGGGCACAAAATAAATTAACTATTAAAGCACTATATTCCATGACAATTTGACTCTGGACTTAATTAATCTGAGAGGACTGCACTCAAATCTTTGGATAACCCACTTATGACTTGTGTGTTAATTTTGTAATAATTTGCATGGACTTAACGAATCTGCTGTTTTGAACCCAGATGATGAAGGAACCGGCTAATTGGTGACTTAACAGAGACCCAGGATTGACATTATTTCTAAACTGAACTCAGTTTCATGATGTTCAATGAGACTATTTATGAAAGACAATTGTTTCTGGTTGATCTTATGACAACCGTTGCTAGGGTTGGTTGTCTCGTAAAGTATCTGATCATAGTGAAATGTAGTATCTATGCTGACTAGGGTTTTAGTTGAAGAAAGAATCTTAACATCTTTGACGATTACAATTGCAGTCTAAATTGTATTTTATATCTTGAACAGAGTTGCAAATATGTTAATGTGTCATTATTTAAGACAACATGTTGTTTATTTTTTGTGACCATTGACCATTCAAGTTTTCTCTTAAATATGCGAGGTTACCAGTAATATATTTTTGTCTCCTACAATTCTCTCATTGGATTTTAACTATGGGTATGATGTTGGGCCCTGCAGACTGCTGTAATGCCACTAGGTGGGGAAGAAATACATTTGGTTGCAATGCATTCACGAAATGATGATAAACCATGCTTTTGGGGGTTTGTTGTTGCTTTGGGACTTTATGATTCATGCCTTGTTATGCTAAATCTCAGATGTTTGGGTATAGTGTTTGATCTGGATGAAACACTTATCGTAGCAAACACAATGCGATCATTTGAGGATAGAATTGATGCACTGCAGAGAAAAATAAACTCTGAGGTAGATCCACAACGAATTTCAGGCATGCAGGCAGAGGTCAAGCGCTACCTAGATGATAAGAATATATTGAAGCAATATGCTGAAAATGATCAGGTTGTTGATAATGGGAGAGTGATAAAAGTACAATCTGAGATTGTCCCGGCATTATCTGACAGTCATCAGCCTATTATTCGGCCACTTATACGGTTACTGGATAAGAACATTATTCTGACACGCATCAATCCACAGGTATTTATTTTTGTATGCATTAGTTTAGTTGTATCTAATGCCACATGTTGAGGTTTTGTATTTTCCTTTTAGATTTATTATTATACTTCAGATCTGTTTTAAAATACTATTATAGACATTAATTGATTTCTCTATTGGTTCAAGTAAATTGGTTCAAGTAAATACTTGATTGAGATACTATTTCATTGTCATTGATGTGACTTCTGCCTTATTTTGTTGTTTGGATGAGTAATGTGATTTTCACATTATAGTGTATTTATACTATCCTATGCCCAAATGTTTAATTCTATGATCTGGACATGGGTGGATAACCTGTTTTTATCTATATTATGTCATATGCAAGCACATAGACTTGTCAGAATCATTAATCTAACAAAAAATTGTGTTTGGAAAGATTCGAGATACAAGTGTTCTTGTGAGGTTGAGACCTGCATGGGAAGATCTTCGAAGCTACCTGACTGCAAGAGGGCGCAAGCGTTTTGAGGTTTATGTGTGCACAATGGCTGAAAGGGACTATGCACTAGAAATGTGGAGACTTCTTGATCCAGATTCAAATTTGATAAATTCTAAAGAACTGTTAGGTCGCATTGTATGTGTTAAGTCTGGTAAGTTGTATGGTTGTTTTCTATTATATTAGGACTTTTTTATGACAAGCTGTATATTGTAATGAAGCACCTAAATGAAGCAAAACTTGAATGAGGACAGCTTGTGTATTAAAATTCACCTATTTGAGATTGATATGCTAATGTCAATTATCTATGCGTAATTTTTGTACCTTACTATATGCCTCTATTTGTCTGCTGCTGTTTCATTTAGTTGTTATACTTGTAATATGGTGTTTGAATAATGTAAAATAGGTTTGAAGAAGTCATTGTTCAATGTCTTCCAAGATGGTTTATGCCATCCAAAGATGGCATTGGTAATTGATGATCGCTTGAAAGTGTGGGATGAGAAGGATCAACCTCGAGTGCATGTTGTCCCTGCATTTGCTCCATACTATGCTCCTCAAGCTGAAGTAAATTTTCTTCCTTATGTAGTTGGGAGTCCAATATCTTCAATTGCATGAAAGGAATTTTTCCCTTTTTCGCGATATGAACTAATTAAACCTGTTTGTATTGTAGGCAAGCAATACTATCCCTGTCCTGTGTGTTGCAAGAAATGTTGCTTGCAATGTTAGGGGTGGCTTCTTTAAGTAAGTTAAAGTGTTAAACCTTCAGAGAGTAGTTTTGACCTGTTATCTGTACACCTTAATGAAAGGGGAAGATGCACGTATTCACTGATTTTTCTTGCCTATCTAGGGGACAACTCTGTTTAATAGTTATAGGTTGCTATTAGAGCAGTTTATTTGTCTTTAATCAGTATAAAAGTAAATACTTAATTGGATTCTTGAACCTAATTATGTCTTCTAATTTGGTGACAGGGATTTTGATGATGGTCTTTTACAAAAGATTCCTCAAGTTGCCTATGAAGATGATATCAAAGATATACCTACTCCTCCTGATGTGAGCAATTATCTAGTTTCAGAGGTTAGTGTATGCTGATGTATAGATATACATATGTTGTTGCCACTTATCAGTGGGGCTACTATGGCGATGTTGATGTAGTCCTTGTATCATTTCATTGTGTTTGACTGTTTATGTTCAACTGGAACTCAGGATGATGGTTCTGGTGCTAATTCTAATGGAAACAGAGATGCATTCTTGTTTGATGGCATGGCAGATGCTGAGGTAGAAAGAAAATTAAAGGTATTAACCTGAGCTCTGAATGAATATGTGAGAACTGTAATATATGTATAATTAAACATGAAGCTTGTCTCATTCTTTTTTTCTCATTGTACTTGCTGCTAGGATGCACTATCAGCAGCTTCAGCTATCCCTGTGACAACTGCTAACCTAGACCCCAGACTCACTTCTCTTCAGTACACAATGGTGTCTTCTGGTTCAGTTCCTCCTCCAACAGCTCAAACATCCATGATGCCATTTCCCCATGTACAGTTTCCTCAACCTGCTACACTAGTAAAGCCAATTGGTCAAGCTGCCCCGTCTGAATCTAGCTTGCATAGCTCTCCTGCTAGAGAAGAAGGTGAAGTACCCGAATCAGAATTAGATCCAGATACAAGACGTAGGCTTCTCATATTGCAACATGGACAAGATACCAGGGATCATGCATCTACTGAGCCTCCATTTCCTATTAGACATCCCATGCCAGTCTCTGCTCCTCGTGTGTCATCCCGAGGGAGTTGGTTTCCTGCAGAAGAAGAGATTGGTTCACAGCCACCAAGCAGGGTAGTACCTAAAGAATTTCCAGTAGACTCTGGTCCATTGGGTATTGAAAAGCACCGACCTCATCATCCATCCTTCTTCTCTAAGGTTGAAAGTTCAATTTCATCTGATAGAATTCTCCATGATAGCCACCAAAGACTACCAAAGGAGGTAATGCCTATGTTTGGGTCTATCATCTGAGGCTCTACAGTAGGATTAGACTTTTGGCTTATTTAGTCAATTAATTGTATTTAGATAATTTCTTCGCAGATGTATCATAGAGATGATCGCCCAAGATTAAACCATATGCTCTCAAGTTATCGTTCTTTATCTGGTAAGCTGTAGTACTTGCTGTTACATTTATGATTATTTCTTTCTGGTCTGAACTTCAAGTATTCTCTTGTACTGATAAGTGTTTAGCTGCAGTTATTTGGCACTCCAGAAATTAATTTACAGCTTTTGTTTAAGTTGGTTCTTTTGAATTATGGTATATATATATATATATATATATATATATATATATATATATATATATATATATATATTTTTTTTTTTTTTTTTTTTTTTTTAATTTTCTTGCTGCTTAATTTTGTTTTATTATTAATGTTTTCACAGATCTTTTTATTTGTCTCACTATTACCCTTTTTCTTCATAATAAATAGACCTCATGAGATGATTTCCCTTGTCCCTCATTCACATATTTGTTTTTTTGGTTCATATGTATACCTCTTTTTTTTTTTTTTCCCCTTTCATTGTTGGTTGGGTTTCTGAATAGCTTCTGTTTCCCTAAGAAAGTAATATATCTATCCTTTACCATGGGAGTAAAAATGCTCGTTAAACATTGGCATAATGGTCAGCATACCAAACATAGGAATGCCATATTCCCTCTTTTATTGGAATATTTCTACAAAACTTGAAACAAACATGCCTTTATTGTGTGTTTCGTTTGGTATGAGGTTTATGCAATTTTTCTTAGTTCTATTTGTTTAGTGTTAACCGAATAGTGACATAATTTCATTGTTGTTGTGAAGGTGATGAACCCCCCTTTAGTAGGTCATCTTCCAGCCACAGGGATCTTGACTCTGAATCTGGTCATTCTTTATTGCATGCGGATTCTCCAGTTGTAGTATTACAGGAAATTGCACTGAAGTGTGGAACTAAGGTGAGTGGAAATGTGTTTATTTGCAAGTAAATAATTAGAGAGGCATCATTTTATATATTAATTTCTTATTGTGCTGTTTCAAGTTTCTAAGGTTTAATGTGAACAGGTGGAATTTATGTCATCTTTGGTTGCAAGCACAGAACTGCAGTTCTCCATCGAGGTATCTTTCATTGTGAACTCAATGATTATGATTCCCTGTTGATTATGTTTGCATACATTTTTTTCATTTTTCTCTAGGAGTTTGGAGGTATGATTTAGTTTAGTTTTTATCCAGTGGTATAAAATCTTTCTCTGGCACTTGCCCACTTTTGGAATTGGTTGCTGCATGTGATTTCTATGCTCCCTAATTCTTGATTAAGTGGACAAAATTGATTTTGTATGCAACCTGGTGTAGCACACCAATTGTTTGAAGTAAATGTATTAAAACACAAGGTTGGGTAACCTTGATGGACGCACGGAAGTTGTTTTTTCTGGAAACAAATTTACAATTTAGGTTTGGAGACTCCAAGCTGATTTCATCTTGCTTCCTGTTGAGTGAATTCACTTGTTGAAATATGTATTCAATTCTATTTTATCTTAAGTTATTGATTTGACTTGCCTTCTCATTATTGTCCCTTTTATTTGTAGGCATGGTTTTCCGGGAAAAAAATTGGTCATGGATTTGGCAGAACTAGAAAGGAAGCTCAACATAAGGCTGCGGAGGATTCTATCAAACATTTGGCGGGTAAGTTGTTTTAAAAAAGTTAAAGATCAAACCATCAAAAGAAGAGCCTACCTATTTAACCTACCCATTGGATTGATATTGAGGCTTACTTAATGGTGAATTAAGCTCATCTATGGGCCTGCTATCAATAAAAAGTTCAGTTTAACCTTGTTAGAGACTGAAACCATTTTTGAGCCTCCTTGCAGCTTAAGAGAGTTGATCTTTTTGACATGTTATCGAAATCTTTATATAACGAAATGGTCAATATTTTGAGCCATGTTGCCTGTTCTTTATTATTAAATTAAAATTCAGCATAACTTGAGGTGGGCGTATGTATTATCCATGCTTCAAGCTTTAGAAGGCTCTTGGATTAGGATCTTTAGCAATCTAAAATAGTAAAACCTTTATTGGGTGTCTCCCCAGCAATTAAATCTTTTAGGACAGTTGATCTAAAAGTACAATCACTTTAGTTATGATGAAAAAAAGTTAGTTGCTTGAGGTAATTGGGTTGTTGATGTACATGAATAAGAAATTAGGACTATAATTTGATTCACAAATTCTACTCAGATTCTAAACCAATTAAAATCTCTTCTAAGATCCCAATGTCAGAAAAATAAACTGATAATGATTAAACAAATACATTTTTTTCACTATTTTGAAAATGTTGTTTTCATAATGTATATTTTGACCATTTTGGCTGTTTTTGTAGATATATATTTGTCTAGTGCTAAGGATGAGCCTGGTTCCACATATGGGGATGTGGGTGGGTTTCCAAATCCAAATGACAATGGTTACATGGGTATCACCAGCTCGCTTAGTAATCAGCCATTCCCGAAAGAGGATTCAGCTTCATTTTCAACTGCATCTGATCTATCAAGGGTTTTAGATCCTAGGTTGGAAGTCTCTAAGAGGCCAATGGGTTCAATCTCAGCCCTTAAAGAATTGGTATAATTTTTTATATTGACCAACCTATCCCACCCAACAAAAATAGTCTTTGTTAAATTCTGTTAGTCTTTAAGTTATTGACTGTGCACTTAATTTCTTAGTGCATGATAGAGGGTCTTGGTGTCAATTTTCTATCTGCACCTGCTCCAGTGTCAACAAATTCACTTCAGAAAGATGAAGTACATGCACAGGTTTGTAATCAAATGCTTCAGTGATCTGAACTAGTTGAGTTAAAAATATAGTTTCATTGCATTGCAAAAGGATTATACTTTGTTTGAACTTGTCTTGTTTATTTATTTGTGTTTTTGTTCCTTTGACTTCAAGAGGTAGATTAAGAGACATTATGCTGGTACTTTGATTTTTTTTTTTTTTTCTATATATTAGGTGTCTTGGGCAGTTTGTTGTCTTCCAGGATGAAATACCAGAAATAGTCACCTTTCTTCTATTCACGTAGTTTATGCTTCTTGTAATGTTAAATAGTAATTCTCTTTTACTATTTGGAATCTGGGTTCAGGTGTATAGTGTAGTACTTAACAGCATAATTGTAGCCAGGGGGTCTATAAAATTTGACTGGGAAGGTTTCTCTGCATAATACATTTCTGTCGTGTTGTTTATCCCTTCCCTGCATTTTGACTTTTCTATTTCATTGTTATTTCTTAAATAAAAAAGCTACGGCAGCATCTAAAATAATTTGTTTTCTATATTTTAGGTTGAAATAGATGGCAAGGTCTTTGGTAAAGGTATCGGATTAACATGGGATGAAGCTACAATGCAGGTCTGTCATTTCCATTAATTATGAGTATATTTGCTTTCCATTAACTTCTTCGCATATGATGTTGAAGCACTAAAGATGCATTATTTCTTTAGGCTGCGGAGAAGGCACTAGGAAGTCTAAGGTCAAAGCTTGGCCAAAGCATTCAGAAAAGGCAGAGCTCTCCCAGGTCCGTTACTTTTCATTAGCAGATTGTGTATATTTATACGCTCCCTCGTTCCCCTTTCTTGATCTTGCATGTGATTGTTTTCACCCATTTGAAGTTATCATGTGATATTGCAAACCTGTTATTGGTTTCTTTCAAATTGAAGTACATATGGTGCAGTGCGAGCTGTCTTGTCTGGTTTTAGTCAATATTATTTTAAAAAAAAAACAGACTAATCAAATACGTATAGAATTGGCTTCTATGTTCTACAATGATATGCTGGTTTTTAAAATTCATTTGTTTTCTTACCCCCTTTCGGTACTCCTTTTAATAACTATTTTTCTTCCATATTTGTGAATCAGGTCACATCAAGGATTTTCAAATAAACGTTTGAAGCAAGAATACCCTAGAACAATGCAGCGGATTCCCTCTTCAGCTCGATATCCCAGGAATGCTCCACCAATTCCTTGAAAAGAGTACCGGACCTTCCAATCTCAGATCCTGATATGACTGTTGCTGATGGCATGTGTATATGTTACTGATTCAACAATACGGTGAATGGTTGTTGGGTTGGACCATTCCATTTAAGTGGGTGCTTGGCCTCAGTCATTATGTTACTGATCCAAAAGCCAAAATAGAGCATCCCTTTTTTGTACCAATAGAAGTTCCTCACTGAAGTGGGGTGCTATACTGGTCAAAGATGTTGTAAGATACTCTCATCTTGGTCCTCCTCCCAACTCCCAAGCAATGCAGTATTGGTTGTGTATCATGGAAATGCTATGAGACCGGTTTCACAAGACAAGATGATGTGGCAAGTCCAATGCTTACTTGCATTTCTGTGGTTTATATACATGATGCAGCATACTCAGACAGAGTAGTAACCTTATTGGAATTGAGAATTGATTCAGCTTTTTTTCTAACTGAAGTAATGGTACAAGATTTAGTACAGGTTTTCTTTTTATTAATGAATGGAAGTCGGTTTTCACTAACCTATCCGGCTAATAGTTTTTCATTCCACTAATTCTGTCACCATTCGCTCCTCCGAAGATTCTGTTATTTACCGAGTCTGAGGTTGGTGAATTTGCATAGTATTGTAACTCACTGATGATGTAATACACTCTCAATTGTGATTATCTGTGAATTTTATTTCCAGTCTTTCGGTGAGTTGTGGTGCTATAAACATTTTTTCAAAAGATGTGTTATTATTTGTGGAATAATGAAAGAGAAAGGGAGAAAGGTATGTGATGTGGCCCAAGGATACAAAGAGAGAAATGTGCATATATAACATAATAATTCCTTGAAAAAATTGAGATGATTGAGCTATCTAAATGGGATCGTAAATAAAATATGGTAATATCTGAATAAATAATTTAGAATTAGGTGTTGATAACGACGGAATCTGGATATTTAGTTTGCCTAAAAGTTATAAAGGTGTTATGTTAGTCCTTTCCTCAGATAAAGTATATGTTTGTAATTTGTTAGTTAGGTCTATTTTTTTGCCTATGTTTATTTGAATGACAATGGGAACTTAACAAGCATTCGAAGTATGAATTTAAATTTAACACTACCTAACAATAATACCGTATCCACTTAATTTCACAAAGCATGTTCTGTCACTCTCCTATAGTCAATGAATTTGACTAGTTTTACTAGATGACCACATCATGGACCCATCGATTTGTCTTTCTGCTACAAATTTATCCGTGTTCAATTTTTTTAACGGGACACTACATGATAAACTTTTTTTTTGTTTAAAAAATACGTGACGCAGATAATTTTTTTCAAAATAAAAAAATATAAAAGCTATGTGACAAATTCCTGATTTAGTAATTTCTTATTCCTCAAAAGTACTTCAATTCAATAATTAGGTTGTAAAATTCTCTCATTCATCCTTCACTAAACATATAGCACAATCATTTATTAAAAAGTCAATAATTACTGTTATGAAAAGAAAATAAGTACAAGCATAACAAAAATTTAAATTAGTTGCAATGTTAGTCATTCATTTTTATTAAGTATCTTTATTCTCGAAAATGCTCTAATCCAAAACTACTCATTCACCATTACATTGGGTACATTTATAAGTCGATGACAAAAATTAATTTTTCAAATAAATTCTGCAAAACATATTGTACAGGTCTATTGTTTATTTCCTTTTACCAAGCCCAAGCTCAGGAAATTGAGAATTAATACAAAAACGAAAAATACACATCGCGGTAACAATCTCTTCTTCGAGCTCCTCTCCCATAGTCCACGCCATCGCAGTGCAGTTACTTGAATTGAGACTCTGAGACCGCATCATGTTCTTAAATGCTTGAAGTTCCTACGTTTTGCAGAGATGATGCACCTCAAGAACCTGCCAAGCAAGACCCTTGTGTTCGTTTTCTCATCCTCTCGAACCTTCCACCGTCCTCACTACTACCCCCACTACCCTTTGAATCCGTTCAGAAGATTCTCCTTCTCCCCCCCCAACGATTCAATTTTGATCCCCCCCAAGAAGGCCCATCTTTACGCTTCCTTCTTCTGCACCCTTATTCGCCTCTACTTGGCTTGTGGGAGGTTCTGCATTGCCACTCACACTTTCTATCGCATGCGTGCCCTTTCTCTCGTTCCCTCCTTGCCCCTGTGGAACGACCTTTTGTATGAATTCAATACCTCTGGCTTGGTTTCTCAGGTAAAAGTGTTGTACTCTGAGATGGTCTTTTGTGAGGTTGTGCCTAATGTTTTCAGTGTTAATGTGTTGGTTCATTCGTTGTGTAAAGTGGGGGACTTGGGTTTGGCTTTAGGGTATCTCAGGAACAACAGTATTTTTGATCATGTTACTTATAATACCGTTCTTTGGGGATTCTGTAAGCATGGCTTGGCTGATCAGGGTTTTGGGTTGATGTCTGAAATGGTTAAGAAGGGTCTGTGTTTTGATTCAGTTACTTGTAATATACTTGTTAAGGGGTATTGTCAGGTTGGATTGGTTCAATATGCTGAGTGGATTATGGATAACTTGGTTGGAGGGGGGGTTCCACTAGATATTATAGGTTTGAACACCTTGGTTGATGGCTATTGTGAAGCGGGTTTGATGAGTCGTGCGTTGGCATTGGTGGAGGATGCCTTGAAGAATGGTGTCAAGCCTGATATTGTTACTTATAATATTTTGCTTAATGCATTTTGTAAAAAGGGGGATCTTGCGAAGGCGGAGTCTTTTATCAATGAGATTTTGGCCTTTAAGAGGGGTGAGGAATCTGGTGTGTTAAATTATTGTGGTGTTGAAAGTCATGAAGATATAAGAGATTTGCAGGCAACAGTTGTTACGTGGACAACCTTAATTGCTGAGTACTGTAAGCATCGTGGAATTGGAGAATTCCTTTCTCTGTATGAGCAGATGATTATGAATGGAATCATGCCTGATGTGGTTACTTGTAGTTCTATTCTTTTTGGACTTTGCAGGCATGGTAAATTACCTGAAGCGGTTGTCTTACTGAGAGAGATGTATAAAATGGATTTAGATCCTAATCATGTTTCATACACTACTATTACTGATGCTTTATTAAAGTCAGGGAGGGTAATGGAGGCTTTTAATTTTCAAAGTCAAATGGTTGTTCGGGGTATTTCTTTTGATCTAGTTTTGTGTACAACTATAATGGATGGACTTTTCAAAGTTGGGAAATATAAAGACGCCGAGGAAATGTTCCAAAGTATTTTAAAGCTCAATCTTGTCCCAAATTGTGTCACATATTCAGCATTGCTAGATGGTCATTGTAAGTTAGGAGACATGGAATTTGCAGAGTTGGTGTTACAAAAAATGGAGAAGGAACATGTTCTTCCAAATGTTATTACCTTTTCTTCTATTATAAATGGATATGCCAAAAAAGGAATGCTAAATAAAGCAATTGATGTATTAAGGAAGATGGTCCAAATGAATATTATGCCAAATGCTTATGTTTTTGCTATTTTGATGGATGGATGTTTTAGGGCAAGTCAACCAGAGGCTGCTGCTGATTTTTATAAAGAAATGGAATCATGGGGATTGGAGGACAATAATATCATATTAGATATTTTGTTGAACAATTTGAAAAGATCTGGAAGCATGAAGGAAGCTCAATCATTAATTAAAGATAGTTGCTCCAAGGGTATTGACCCAGATGTTTTTAACTACACATCTTTGATAGATGGTTACTTTAAAGAAGGAAACGAGGCCGCAGCTCTTTCCATAGTACAGGAAATGACGGAGAAAAACATTCAGTTTGATGTTGTTGCTTACAATGCTTTGATTAAGGGGTTTTTGAGGCCAGGGAAATATGAACCAAAATCTGTGTTTTCAAGAATGATGGAGTTGGGTCTGACTCCAGATTGTGTTACATATAACTCTGTGATTAACACATACTTCATACAAGGTAAAACAGAAAATGCTCTGGATCTACTGAATGAGATGAAGAGCTATGGGGTAATGCCAAATATGGTCACTTATAATATTCTTATTGGTGGTCTTTGTAAAACTGGCGCAATTGAAAAAGCAATGGATGTTTTGAGTGAAATGTTGCTTATGGGGTATACTCCTACGCCAATTATTCACAAATTTCTGCTTAAAGCATATTCAAGGAGTAGAAAAGCAGATGCAATTTTGCAAATTCACAAGAAGCTTTTGGCTATGGGCCTCAAGCTTGACCAGACAGTGTATAACACTCTAATCACTGTATTATGCAGATTAGGGATGACTAAAAAAGCAAATGTGGTGCTTAGGGAAATGATGACAAAAGGAATTTCAGCTGACATTGTTACTTATAATGCCCTTATATATGGTTACTGTACAGGCAGTCATGTGGAGAAAGCTACTGATACTTATTCACAGATGTTGGTGGATGGAATATCTCCAAATATTTCTACTTACAATGCCCTTTTAGATGGTCTTTCAACTGCTGGTTTGATGAGAGATGCTGATAACTTAATTAGTGAGATGAAGGAAAGAGGACTTGTCCCAAATGCCACTACTTATAACATATTGGTTTCTGGCCATGGTAGGGTTGGAAATAAACGGGACTCTATAAAACTTTACTGTGAAATGGTAACGACAGGTTTTATTCCCACAACAGGAACCTATAATGTGCTTATTCAAGATTACGCAAAAGCAGGAAAGATGCACCAAGCTAGAGAACTTTTGAACGAGATGTTGACAAGAGGAAGAATTCCTAATTCTTCAACATTTGACATTCTGATCTGTGGATGGTGCAAATTATCCTGTCAGCCAGAGATGGACAGGGCACTTAAACTGTCATATAAAAATGAGGCAAAAAAATTGTTGAGAGATATGTGTGAAAAAGGACATGTGCCATCTGAGAGCACTCTCTTATATATCAGTTCAAATTTTTCTATGCCGGGAAAAAGGGCTGATGCCAAGAGGTTGTTGAAGGTATTTACCCAGAAAAAGAATTTGTGACAAATGGTTTAATGGATAGTGAGATGATGTAGAACTCAAACTATGACGAGTCATATACAAAGTGGGTCTTAAATGTCTTTCAAGGTCCAACTGGGATAAGGAAATTAGTGGACTGTACCTATGTTCTTTATCTGGCAGTGAAGGTGATGGTGTTCTAAGCCCGCAGTAAGAAATAGGTTGAACACTGACAATTTACATCTTTATTTGCATCAATTACTGTCTTGTGATGTTAAACTTTATATGATTGGAATTGGAAATTATGGATGAAACACTTATAATAACAAATCCATTGATCATTCAAGGATTGAAACTCATCAAGCGGCAGATGGATCAACAATGACTTTCTTATGTGATGGCAGTGGTCAACTGCTACTCCACCAAGAATATATTGAAGTAGCCTACTCAATATGATCAAGTTATTGAGAAAGACGGCCTTACAAATTCATTCTGATTTATTCCTGGCAATCTCAGATAGTCAGTCATTGGGCTATATACACTAACTGTTGACGAGGATAGGGAGAAAAGAACACAATTCTTCTTGCACAGAATTTTAGGTATGTAATCTTCATCCAATTATTTGATTGTAATGTTGTATGGAGTGGGATATCTTGAGGATTCTGTACCTACTGCTGAAGTTATTATCCTATATTGTGTGAGTCTTTATTTCTTTATTTGGTCTAGCAAATGTGTTAGTCTTTCATCGCCCAAAGTATGGCTTCTTTTGTTGTTCTGGGGAAGAGACTAAGCGAGCAGAGTGATATTTCCAATGTAGTTCTTTAGTGTATTTGTTAGGAACCAAGAATTAAACAGAAAAAGAAAATAAAGTTTCTTTATTGAATAGAATGAAAAGAACAAGAAATAGGAGAAGACTCTCCTCCAAGGGTTTCACCCTTCACATAGGATTTCTCCTTTTACAAAGAGCTAATGCTCAATTTACAAAGAATATTCACACCCTTCTCCTATCCTTCACACCCTATTTATATCTAAATAACACCTTATGCAGTTAACTGACTCATTAATATGCTAACTATCTTCCTAACTTCTCTTTCCCCTTGTACCCTGACGATACACCCCGCCTAAAAATCAACCTTGTCCTCAAGGTTGTATAGTAGAAACTTGATCCCATTGCTCATTCTTATTACCATGATTTTCATTTACCCTTCCTGTTTGCATGTGATGTCTTTTTTTGGTATAAGAATGAGAACCAGTGGCTAATGCATTCAAATTCAGATCAGGTGGCTTGGGTGGTGGTGGAAATGAGAGTGGATTTTTTGTAACAACCCTCAAACCTTTGCATTGACTCCATTGACAAGTTGTAATCTAGAGAAACAATGAAATTTAATGTTAAAGGATCACCAAGAAAATTAAAATTCTCAAATTCTAATGCCATTGTTGTTCCAACCACCTTCACTGTCAGATTTGGGTCCAACAATGATTCCTGATTCTTAATATGGAAATCCATCATCTTCACAGTATTTATTGATGACATAATCTTTGCTTCTTTTGCTAAATTCTCTTCATTTTTTGTTTCTTCTCCACTGTCAAGGGTGTGATACTTGATTATTGAGTCTTCTTTACTTTTATTTTCTGATTTCAAGAATAGAAAATGATCATCATCACTTTGAAAACTGCCACTTTGGGAATCAGATTCCCCTTCTATGCTTCCAGCAAATATGGGTAGTTCCATCTTTTTTATCCGATAACTAATCTCTGCTGCAATGCATTTTGACCCGCTTTCCTTCATGCTATTTTTTTCTTGCTCAACCAGATGTTGGATCACCCTCTTCATACACTACTGTGGAAGTCTCCATTATTTTGCTGCATGTTTTAATCTCAATTTGCTCTTCTTGCTTCATGGTAGTCAATCTTTCAAAGATGTGACTGTCATAGATATCTTTGAACTTTTTTATCAAAGCTGTTGAAAAAGATTCCCAATCTAAATCTGAGTTACCTTGGCACCAATAATAGAACCAACGCATTGCCACACCCTCCATGCTCATGAATGCATATTGCAGCTTATCAAAAGAATCCATTTCATGTACCTCAAAGAATTTTCCAGCCTTAGCAATCCAACCAATTGGATCACTTCCTTCAAAAGTTGGCAGCTCCACCCTCTTCATCCAGTGAAGCTGCACCTCTTCTTCCCCACCATCTGAATTAGATTCCTCACTAATCACCGTCCTTTCTCCTCTTCTTCCCCCATTTATAGAATTGTCACCTTTCTCCGAGCTTCTTTCTTTTTTCCTGAAGTGTTTCAACAAGTCTTTGATTTCTTGAAAATTATCTTGCATTTCCAAGAGGGTCTTCCCATGCTCGCTGGCCCATTTTTCCAAGGCAGCAATTCTTCCATCCATGATTTCACCTTTTTCAGATCCGGCTGGTCGGACCAATTGTTAGGAACCAAGAATTAAATAGAAAAAGAAAAGAAAGTTTCTTTATTGAATAGAATGAAAAGAACGAGAAATAGGAGAAGACTCTCTTCCAAGGGTTTCCCCTTCACAAAGGATTTCTCCTTTTACAAAGAGTTAATGCTCAATTTACAAAGAATATTCACACCCTTCTCCTATCCTTCACACCCTATTTATATCTAAACAACACCTTATGCAGTTAACTAACTCATTAATATGCTAACTATCTTCCTAACTTCTCTTTCCCCTTGTACCCTGACAGTATCAAAATGACCTATTAATATTTCTGGAGAAGTCACTCCTTGATGTCTGGTTAGATGTAAAATGAGTATATTTCTATCTGATTTCTTGACTGACACTGACTTGTGTGGTTTTACTTATTGTTTGTGCAGGAACTTTTATGAGGCGGATTCTGGCATGGAAATGTCTTAGGAGTTGAGACTGAACAAATGCTTTAAGCAGACAAGGCTTATTTTATTCAAGTCAAAAAAAGCGAACTTTCGGCAGAAAGTTGAAGACATTTGAGGCACAATTCTAATAGAAGTTACAAGGAAATGTCAGACCAAATTTTAGTGCTAGTCCGGTAACAACTGGGTGTTCCTATTTTACCATCTGGTTTTCCTTTACAATATACATCAATGATAGAGCACCTGGTGGCTACAAGCCTACGATGAATTGGTAAAAGAAACAAATTGCAGGATGAAGACATCCTGAAATTTTATATTCATACTATCTGGATATGCTTTGTTTTCAGGGGATGTGATTTGTCTATCCTTTGTAGTATAAGTCCTTATTTCTCTTGTTTATTTGAATTTTAGCAGGTTCAAACATGTCATTGTTCACATTTTATAAGATCTATATTACTCATATCTTTAGTTGATGGGTTTTTGAACATGTTTTAGATTATTTTTACTAGTTAACACTTTTAGCAGTTTTTGAATAGGTGACACCACATGGTTCATTGATAATGTAAAACATGTAGCATTGTTAGCGGATAAAGCACAAATGCTTATAAATGCATGGTGTTCAATTTCACTCCCCAAGTTGTTTATATTCCTCCTAATCCAAAAATGATTGCATTGCTTTCTACACCATTGCCACCTATGAAGCACCGGTTCTTCAATTTGCTTCACGAATCGTGTGGATATTTCACCAATATTTTATTGATGAATCCGAAGCATCAATATTTTTATTTGTTTTGCAAATAATATTTTTAGATAGTTTACCTACGTGTATGTCAAAACTTTTACATTATTTATATTCAATAAGAGTTTAAGAAACATACACGCATCTATAAAATAGAAACATATAAATATTAATTTTCATAAATCAAAGAAAAAAGTGTTCTGTATTTTAAAAAATTAATGAGAATGCTAGTCTTATTCTTATATCTAAGTAACAAAAAATATTTTATAATGATAATTATTTATATTTTTTAGTTCTACAATATCTAAGAAATGTGATTTAAATTTCAGATTTACATGATTATAGCTTTATAATTATTATGTTTCATGATTATTTTTTAATATTTCCTATAGTAATTTTTTTTTAATTTTTTTTTAAGAATTAATGTATCGTTGCGTGGTATGCAAATCGTATCTGACATCGTATCCATGCATCATAGATAGATTGTAACCTTTCTTTTTGTTTGGTTTTGTTGATCAACAATAATTTGTGGGAGATCCTCTTGCAGGATAACAATATAAAGCAAATGCCGGATAGACCTGCTTCTTCTGCATCAAATAAAGATCCTCAGATGACAGATCAGATTAGTAGGGTGAGATGCATTTTCTCTGTTGCAAACTTCCTTCTTGACAAAATTCATACATGAACTCAAATGATTTGTATGAGCTGCAAATTGAACAACACAGTGTAATGGGAAAATGAAATCAGTTTTTGCCATTTTCTCCACTAGCAATGTAATTGAAACGGAATTGTGTAATACCCTAGTGAAGTTCTTTTGAAATATTTATCATCCATGCCTTACAAATATACTAATTTTATGTTGGATGAATTTATTACATAACAATGTTTTGAAAATATTTTAAATGTTTTACTCTCTATATTTCGTTTTGGTCTTTGTATCCTGAACTATTTTCTTAATAAAACAAATTTTGGCACTCAAAATTAACCTTTTAAAGGATATTAACTAAATTAAAAATTAAAAGTTGTAGTGACCGAAAATACATTTAAATCAATAAAATTATTGATTTTTTTAGGAAAACATTTTACTAAAATTATCCATTTGAATATTGTTGGTTTACCTATGTCATTGGTAACAGTTACTAAATATTTTTAAGATTTCATTACAATCCTTCTCAGACAAAAAAATAAAATAAAAATAAACTTCAATTTATTTGAAAATATTATTACATTTACTAATTAAAAATATTATATACTTCTGGTCAAAAAATTAATTTATTTTGTCGTCATGGTTGATCCCATAACTATTATCATTACTTTTAAAAGTTGTGGTCAAGTTAAAATATTGTTAACGTGTTCATTCACCTGAAAATTTCAATTTTATGTGAACTAATATAAATTTGAAAGTAACTATTTAAAGATCTATAAATTTATTATATAGCAATTTATTAAAAGTAAAAAAAAATTATATTTTTAGTATATATAAATTAATAATTTATAATTGAAGGAAAAATAAAATTAAGCACATTTTAATTAAATACAAAATTATCCCATTTTGGTTTATTTTTTCTTTTCACCGTCAAGTATTTGAAAAGTCAAGCAAACATAACAGAAGTGTGTCTCTCACTGATCTCTCTCTTTTCTGTTCAAAGTTTCCGCACAACGGAGAGAAAAGAAAATACCAATCTCTTGAGAGAGAAAAAAAAATAAAATCCAAGAGATATGTCTTCCACCTTCGACGCTTTCACCGTCGAAGACGACCACTTCTCCGCAGAAGCCGCCGGCTACAGTGATTACACCACCTTCCCTGCTGATGACGTCCCCGTCGACCACGTGGCGGCCGCTTCGCCGGAGATCTTCGGCTTCAGCGATCCCGATTCAGGCTACAGCCACTCACCCTTCGAACAAGTGCATGTAGTGGAGAATGGGAACGAAAATGGCTCCGAAAATGGCTATAGCAATGGCGTTTTTGTCTCCGACGGGCCGGTGCTACCACCGCCTGGAGAAATGGAGCCGGAGGAAGGTTACGTGCTTCGGGAGTGGCGCCGGTAACTCTCTATCTCTCTGACTAAGCTTTTAATTTTAGTATGAAGAGTACTGTTTGTTTTGTGAATTTGTCAGATCTTGTTTGAGTTTGCTTAGATCTAATAGGTTAAGATTGGGAATGAAAGAAGCGAATTGTTGAAGTTGTTTGATTCAATTTTACTTGGAATAGTTACTTAAGAAGCGAATCTGCATGATTCTGCTTAGTATAATTTTGTGCTTTGGTGGGAGTAATTGGTTTGCATTCCCCAGTTTTTATCTGCCATGGTCCTTACTGGGTAATGTGGATCTTGGATCTGAGTGGTAAGGTGTTTTTAAGAGTAAATTTTCTCACATGAAAAGATTAGTAATTAGATGCTATGCTGCTTGGACTCAAGTCAGAGCTGATTCTACATTTTCGTTGATCTGAATTCTGTGCACATTTTCTTGCATTAATAAAGTGTGGAAGGATCGATTATTTTTGTTTGAAGGGAGATGATCATAGTCCAGTTCACGACTGAGTGTTCCACTTCCATTATCATCTCTTCCCCAGGGAAGCAATTTACAAATGAATGACTTGATCTGATGATGATAAAACTTGGGGGAATTGTTGAAAATCCTTCACTGCACATTTTGCTAACTGAATTTATTTATTTTTTCTTCTTTTCCATTTTATCTGCTTGTGTAGTTCAGGGAGTAATATAACTTGGTGTAAGTGCACAAGTATTTCATCATTTGTGTATTTTGATACTTATGTAGGTTTACATTGACACTGATCCTATCGATTTCAAGTGCGGTATATTATTTTGTATATCTAATGTTGGATTTCTCTGTTTACATCTTGTATTGAGCATCTGCTGTTGGCTCAACAAAGATTAACTAATGGTGGTTGATTCATAAACTGCAGGATTCAAGCTTTCCCTTACTATTAAGTAGCCAAGGTGAAATTAGGATTCTAATTTAATATAAAATATTTAATATTTACGTTAATTTCTAGGCGGTGCATAAACAGATAAAACTGAGGGAGTAGATTCTTTTTCTAAAAATTATTTCATAACCTGTCGTCACCTCCAAGTTCTTATATTCCTAATTCCTTGATGATGTCAAACCTATTTATTTTGTGTTTAAATTTTTCTTTATAAATATTGGTATTGTAAGTGTTTTATTTTGCATGGTGGATCCTATAAAGATGACAATATAATGCATAGAAAAGAATGTTTAAAATATAATTATGATATTTATATACTTAAAATAAAAAATGTTAAATGTGACCATTAATACATGTTGAATATAGTGAAAATCTAGGGTTAATTTCTCTATAATTAAGAGTCATACAAGTAAATATGGTAAATGCATATATTCTGATTAATAACATCTAACAATATAAATTTTGTTTGTTTGATTTTCTGAGGCACAATTATTCTTGTTAACACTGTCTTGTTCGCAATTTGATCTATATTGCATGTTTGCTGAAATCGGTTGTAAACAAAAATGAATTCATTATGCAGTCAAAATGCCATTCAGCTTGAGGAGAAGGAGAAAAGGGAAAAGGAAATGAGATTGAAAATTATTGAGGAAGCCGAGGAGTATAAGGTGGCATTTTATGAGAAAAGGAAGCTTAATGTTGAAACCAACAAGGTTCAAAACAGAGAAAGGGAAAAGGTAATCTCTACACGCAGCATATAAATTCACAATACATCCTTTTATGTTCTTATAACTTCAGAAATAAACTTTGTATATGGGGCAGTTATACCTGGCTAATCAAGAGAAATTCCACAAAGAGGCTGACAAAAATTACTGGAAAGCTATAGGGGAGATAATTCCTCGTGAGGTTCCCAACATTGAGAAGAAACGAAGCAAAAAGGATCAGGATAAGAAGCCATCAATCACAGTTGTCCAAGGCCCAAAGCCTGGCAAACCCACAGATCTTTCTAGGTTGAGGCAGATATTGTTGAAGTTGAAGCATACACCACCACCTCACATGATTCCCCCTCCCCCTGCACCTGCTAAAGACTCAAAAGAGGGGAAAGATGGAAAAGAAACAGCACCTAAAACAAATGGATCTGCACCAGTAAGTACACCTGGGTCACTACCAAAGGATGCCACCACCAATAACGGTACTGCAGATTTACCCCAGAAAGAAGCTCCACTACCCCCTGAGGAGCAGTCTTCCACATAACTCTGATTCGCATATTATAGCCCTCACAATCTTTCTTCTGCTATCCCTTTTTCCCCTGCAATTCTTTACGGATCCGGTTGTCATGCTATTAGTTTCTATGGCTTTTTGGTTTGCATTTGTGTTCAGCATTGAGGTTCTGTATCAATTATATCCTTTATTAACTATTATATATATGACCTTGGAAATTCATATGATGATGGGTTTGATACATCATTTAAAAATAAAGAGCATTTTTTTCTCTTCTATGATTATTTGCTTCTTACTTATATATTTTTATTCCTGGTGTATTTGATGCCCTATCTCCCCCCATTTATATTTTTATCCTTGAGCCTAGGTGCTTTTTTCAGCATCTTAGTTCTTTGTAAGCTCGTAAGATAGTTTGATGAAGATATTATAGATCAGCATTTTCAAAGGGAATAATATTGTATTTGACTTATTCCATTGTCAAGCGAACTTAAAAAGCAAAATTCAAAATATCGTTCCTCTCTAATCGCTTGAAATTGTTAATTGTTTCGTATGGCTCGAATACGGCACAGTTTTGGAACCAAGTTTACCTCTGTGCTTATTGCAGATTGCTGTATCCTACCAAGAGCAACTACGTTGGAATTATTGGTGAGTTGTTTAGATTAATTAATTATGTGTTTTAGGGTGAGTTTTCATAACTCTTTTAATTAAAAACAAAGTTAAAATTTGAATTTTAATACTTTTTCAAATAAAGGCCAATTTTTTTAAATAAATAATTATTTAATATTTCAAAATCTAAAAAACAATATTTATTTACATAAAAATGAAACAATAATCAAGAGAGAGAAAAAAAACATAAAAAGATAATAATATAATAAGACATTCTCACATTAAAAATCTCAACTCTGTCTACTGCAATTAAATATTTAATTAATAACAAAAATATTAAGAATTTGTTTGTGTAAGATTTTAAAGATAATTTCTAGTTTTTAGGTTTTAAAAAATAAAAAATCTTACTATTTTGTAATTTTCTTTTAGTATTTAATATCATTAATTTCATGCAGTTCGACCAACAATTATACTATATGCTTGTCTTTGTTGTCATAATTAATTGCGACTCTCCCTTAAAACTGACGTCTTCCTCATCTACCTAAACTAACTTTCAAATTCAAACTATTAAAAATAAATTTCAATTTATTCTCACAAGTAATTTTTCGAATAGATTATTAAAAGTATTTTTATTTTTAAAACTAAAAAAACAGCAATAAATGCCTAATCAACTATTTTTTTATACGAGATTAATTTAAAATTAAGAATTTAGTTCGAAATTTCTGACAAAAAGAAAAATGATTTCTTAAATTAGTTAAACCAAACACTTAAAAAATGGCAGTCTTCAGTTAAAAATACAGGAAATTCGTTATTTTAAGAAAATTGTTTTAAGTAAATATATTAAAAAGTTTAAGCTAATTATGAATACTTTAATTAAAAAGTTAATATAGATTAACTTATTTTGAAAAAAATAATTAAGATTGCTTTTAAACAACCAAAAAAATAAATTGTTTTTCAAAATCAAGCGTTAAGCAAAACATAATTTAAAAAGAGCAGTTACTTAGAAAAAATCTGTTACTAAAAAAATATCATAAAACACCTTTTTTTCATAAGAAAACTTATCCAAGCCCACCAAAAGACATTCTTAAAAATGAATATACAAAAAAGAGAAAAATGTCAAATAAAAAAGAAGATAATCCCTCTTTGCTCTATCTCTCTCTCTTTCTTTTCTACTAATTATTTAACTATGTAATTCACACACATCACAAGTTTAGTTTACGCTTCACCGTGGGGCCAACTGAGTAATACTGGAAGGGTTAGAGCTAAATTGATAGCTTGTGGATCCATAGGATGACTTTTTTTGAGAGGATGCTCCAGGATCCTGGAAAAACCCTGGTGCTGTTATTAGCTTTTCATTCAGCCTTATGTTCTTGGACAGCATATCCACAACTTGGGACATCATTGGCCTTCTACTTGCTGCTGCTTGTGTGCAGAAAAAAGCAACCTTCATGTACCTAATTACCTCTTCCTCAGGGAACTCAACCATGTCTGGATCCACAAGCTCCAACAGTCTCCCCTCTTCATACAGTTGCCAGGCCTGTTATGCAAAGATAAAGATCATTATGTCTAGACCAAGTCCCGCATTGAGAAGAATAGTTGATTATATATGCGAAGCTGAAAGGTACACACCCATTCCAAGAGAAATTTGTTAGAACCTCCCCAGTTTGTCCTTGCACTGCTTTTGCCACTGATTATTTCAAGTATAAGAACCCCAAAACTGTATACATCAGCCTTCAAGGTTAACTGGCCACCCATTGCATATTCTGGTGCTAAGTAACCACTGCATTTTGACACCAAAGCAGATCAGAACATTAGTCAGATCCACTGTCCAAGTAATTGAACAATTTTGACAACGCAACTAACTATCTACTTGGTTCTTCTTTGTGAAAATTGTAGAACATTAAAGATAAAGATAAGATGTAGAGCATATGTTGAGGAATAAGTGAGCTGTAATGCAATGCTTCAGCAGTTGGAAGGTCCGGGAATTTTTTGATCTACATTTCCAACACAACTGTGAGGAAATTGGATCTGCTATCAGAGTTTGTTGCCAATAATATCATCTAAGTTTTAGTTCAAACAAATGGGCTGTGAAGCTTTTCACTTCTCATAAAATCTACAAAAAAAATTTATATTCATATTTCTTGAGATACAAGATCATGTAATGTAAATAGGCATCAGTTTAGGATAGAAAATCTCTGTATATATTCAGATTATATTTATGAGGTTTAATTATATTTTTAATCTCTGAAATTTGGCATAAATCCTTTTCCAGTCCTTCAAATTAAGAAAGAAATAATCATTTTAGTCCCTCAAATTAAATAAAATATGGTTTAGTCCCTGAACCCCAATTTTGAGAGACTAAACACAGTTTTAAAAATCAAATTTAGTGTTTAGAGACTAAAATCTTTTTTTTTTTTTCATTTTGAGAAACTAAAATAATTTTTTTTAATTTGTAGAACCAAATTATAATTATCCTAAATTTCAAACATAATGGAGCTTATTTATAATAACTAGGATTTATTTTTCATATTTTCCATCTTTCCCTGAATAGGTTTAGCCAATTCATAGTTTCCATAGCCTTTAAACATGGATTAGAGATTGTATTGAGAAATTAACTAGAAATATTTAGTTCTTCTCTTTTCCCATTCCAGCTTTCGGTTGAGTGATTCATCCCAAAGATACAAAATAGGTATCCAAGAACCATACTAACTTTATCGAACATGTGCTACTTGAATATTGTTTGAGGCATATGCAACTGAAGTCAACTAATTACGAACATTCTATACCTAGTACGTTCAGAAAACATAATTCAGATATCCTGATTGACCCTGAAGGTTTATCACTAACATTGCTAGTTCTGCTGTCATAACTAGATGGTGATTGGTGAAGGATCACCAAATATGAATAGTTTTTTCTCCTAATATCTTACTAATTAAATATTATCTCCAGAAAACTAAATAGGAGCAAACAGGAAGAAAGAAAGAACAAACCTTTCAATGCTGCAGAAAAAATAAAAAACATAAAAAATTAACTATGAATCTGAAGTATAACATACGTTGTTCCAGCAATCCTTGTGCTAATGTGTGTGATGTCATCTGGAAATAATTTAGCCAACCCGAAATCTCCTATTTTTGGGTTGAAATCTCTGTCAAGTAGTATGTTGCTTGCCTTGATGTCTCTATGCACAATGTGTGGCACAAGTTCTTCGTGAAGAAATGCAAGACCTCTAGCGGTACCCATGCAAATAGCAGATCTTTTTCTCCAGTCTAATCTGATATTTGAACCTCTTGAACCTACAAAATGTAGGATAAAAGAAAAAGAAAGATTTTTGTTTCATCCCATCATCTGCATATGATTGGTGATTTCATAACTCACACCAAAGCATTTGGAAATTTACCAAGTAATGCACGATCAAGGCTGTTATTTTCCACATATTCATACACTAATATGCGATTAGTTTCTTGAACACAGCAACCAACCAATTCAACAAGGTTTGGATGCCTAACATTTGATATAGTTTTAATTTCAGATAAAAATTCACGAACCCCCTGCTTTGACCCAGCTGAAAGTGTCTTAACTGCTACCTGTCTTCCATTTTTTAAGGTTCCCTGGCAAAATTCAACATAGCTATTTAGTACTGGCTAAACAATGAAGAGGAGAAGAAAATGATAAAAGTGTGCTATTATTTCTTGATTACTTAGAGGTTGGCTTTGCCAACACAACAACATTAGAGCTGTCCCTTCATTCTATGCCAACCCTAGCCCAGGGTGGGCTTTTTGGGAAGCCCGTTCCCACCACACTATCGGCCCGGTTGGCCTTCCAGCGGTAGTGGGAATTCTCCCATTCCCTGGTCAAAGACTTGGAGCTCGAAGCAGTTAAGAACAGTCATAAATTCTAAAGTTGTCTTTCTGTGACTAAGGAGGTTCCAGAAAAGGGTAAGCTGAAGAAGAGGCATTTCTTTTGTAACCAATTCTATAAATCCTTCAGTTGCAAGATTTTAGCAAATATAAAAGAATGGTAAGGTTTCCGATTTAATGCTAAAGTGATATTTGTTTATGTTGACTATGCATAAAATAGAAGCATTGCTTGTACCCACATCTCCTTTACTATGTATCAGGGAAAATTGACAGTGTTCAAATCTTACAACTCGTGGTCCAAAGCATGACAGCAACATTCTATGATGTCTATAAAGGGTACAGGAAAGAAATATTTCAACTAGCAATGCTGGCCTTTTTGTACGGTGGGTGATATGAATACCAAAATCAAATTTATAACCAAAGTAATCTATCACTTTATAAGCATTATAATGCAGTGTGTGCCCTAGTTAGTGAGTGGAACATGTCAAGTGAGAGGAGCAAACCATTCCAATATATGTAAGTTCAAGAATGAACAATAAGTCGCATGAATAACAATGAATATCTCGATCATGGAAATAGGTAGGTATGGATTAGATTTTTAATAATCTAATCTATTTCCAATTCAAATCCAATCAAATAGATTGAACTTTAAATTCAAGTTCATTTAATTGGATCAAACTGATTTGGAATTTCTGAATCTTGTTTAAATTTGGATTTAAATTAGATTAAATTCATATCCATTTAATTTGGACAAAATTGGCATTAAAACCAAAGTTATTATATATGGTAAATTTAAATTAAGTTTTATTTGAATTAATTTATTTACGATATATTTTCTTTTACTAAATAATAAAGATATTTTTCAAGATTGTTAAGTTTGAGAGAGGGAGTGATCAGTGTTCCATGAATCTAATTGAAGTTTTTTGTTTTTTCTTTATGTATTGTTTTTTTTTTCACTGTTTAATTTAATTTAAATTTTTTCTTATTTTTTGATCTTAAAACAATATGAGCACCTTTGTATGTTATATGACTTATTTTAATATTAGTTTTTAGAAATTAAATAATAATTTATGTGATGAACATGACCCAATTTTAGTATAATAACTGATTATGTTTTAGCCGAGAATGATCCAACAATGTCTTGACTATGGTCCAAACCAAAGAGACACTTTACAAATCGAGTAAAAAATGTCTCAAAAATTATCTAGACCAAATTGATTTCTTAGGATCTGACATTGGTTTTCGATCTTTTTTAAATCCAAAAAATCTAACTAATTGAATTGGATTTAAATTTGAAATACATCTACTAAAATAACTTAAAGTGATTTGGATAAGTATAATTATGGATTGGATTTGAATATTTGAATCTTTTGCACACCTCTACACATGGGGTTTTGAATGTAATGATGTTTTTACTGCCACAACAACGGTGTAGTAATGTCTTCAGTTGGATAATACTAATACAAATATCTAACTGGTCTAAGATTGGCACTTGTATAACAAATGAAATCTTCATTCAACGTTGCAGAGAGAAATAAGTGAAAATAGAAATTTAAAAAATTAGCCCTGATGTAGACAAACACCTCTAAAAAAAATCCTTTGGTAAGATCAACTGATCTACAAGCATATTAATTCCATAATGATACAACTTATAGTAGAGTCTGGGACCAAAATACCTGGTAAACAGTTCCAAAACCTCCTCGTCCTAGCTTTTTGCTTGGATTATAGTTATCAGTGGCCAGTCTCAGGTCTTTATCAGAAAAGTTCTTCACATTATCAAGTGGAAAGCCTGAGAAAAAAGGATTTGTATATGACAATCAACATACTGATAAATAGCAAACACAAAACTTGTAGTTATAAAAGTATTACTAATTATATGCCAGAACTCTTTTGAACATCATTACTGTACCACATATCAAAAACAACCAAACTAGTAAAAATCCACAATGTCTATGTCCCAACTTCTAAGATTATGTTTGGACCTATGTATGAACTAAATGGACATATTTATCTTTTGAAATCTACAACTTATGAACTGTTGCTCTTGTCAGACCTTCCTGTAACAGTGACCTACGCAAGATGGGTTGATTAATAATACTCAAGTCGAACCAACATTCAATGTATCACTCTCCTCTACATTTGTGATCAGCGTAATTGACAGTCAGAAAGGGCAAGCTCATTGGTAGCTAAAGCCAATAGAAGGAACAGGATACTATGCAATCAATAGTCTAGCATTATTGAAGGCTACAGAATATTAAAACAAGTAATCAACAACCACCCTCACCATCAATCTCATTAGGAGTATGAGAAGGATTCCTTTTCTTCTTGAGAGTTGAGGCTCCAAAGCAGCCACAACTCATAATGGTCCTGGGATGTGACTGCTATACTCTGCACTATTTAACATATTTCAAAATAAGTGAAAAGTGTCATTTATGCAATTTAATTGCAAAAACTAAAGATGTAGCAATGCAAAGGCATAGAACTCTAGCACACACTTTGACAAGCCAGAATAAATGACACGGTCAACTGAAATAGTTCAAGCCTTTGTAAAACAACTTGACACGGATTGCTGAACTTGGTACATATCACGAATATGAATATTAAAATTCTCACAAACCGAGCCTAATAACATGGACTCAATAACAGAAATTTCAACAAAAGTCAATTGTTTCATTCCTATATTTCTTTTGTGCTGAATCGGTGATCAAACGCGTTAGATCCTTCCAATGACTCTGTACAGACCAAAAACAAAACACCGAACTAAACCGAAGGATAATTCCTAGTTTGCAAACTTTTCCAATTTCACCAACCCAAAACAAGAATAGAGAGAGAATGAACTCCCTAGAGAAAACCCTTCCCAAATTGAGCTCATAATCGCAATCTGATTTTACCATTAAGCTTACAATCCAGAAAGACTACAGCTTTAACATGAGAAACACAGTAACCCATTTGGGATAAGAACCCCTTTTGGGAAACAAAGGAGAAAAGTAAGAAAAAAAAAATGATGATCACCTTTGGAAGGCAAAAGAAAATGCAGAAAGTCTATGGAGAGTTGGGTGGTTAAATAGGAAGGAGTTGAAAATTGATAAGAGAAAGGGGTAAAGAATGGTATTAAAAATAAACGGTTTATGTTGGGTGCTGGGTCTTGCGGCGATAGCGAGTAATGCGTGTTCGTTCATGTTTCTTTGTTGCGTTGTTGTATTGTATTGTATTCTATTTTCACTTGGTTTGGTCCAACTCTTGTGCCATACACATGACCGTTTCCTCTTTTCGGTTCCACATCCCCACCAGGCTGCTAAAGACTCTATCTCTCCTTCCAACACCAATACCAATCACTCTCTCTTTCTTTGTATCCAAATAAATGCACTCCTGATGTTAATATTATTATATATCAACATTCATTCTCTTCTTCTCTTCAAGAAATAAAAGTGAGATACTTTGACATAGGACAAGACAATAGAAAGAAAAAGAGAAACAGAGTGGAAAATTTTCCATTAAAATTGATTTGATTAGTCCCAAAAATTAATTATTTTTTTAATGTAAATTTAATAAAAATAAATATAAAATGAAATTAAAATATAGTTATTTTATAAATAAAATATATTGTAATATATATACTTATAAATCTTTTTATATAAATAAGGTATATTTAAGAATTTTGATTATTAAAAATTTAATTATTAATTTAAATCTTATATTTAATATAAATGATAGAGTTAAATAACTTATAAATAATAATAATAAATTATTTAATATTTTAATATTTTTTATTAAAAGTAATATTATAACTCATGTTTTATTAATAAGATTTTTTTATTAATAACTTCTTTAAAAATACTTAATCGTAAAAATTAACTTAATGAATTAAGATTTTGAAGAGATAAAAAAGTAAAAAATTAATAAATTGAATAATATACATATGTTAACATAAATTATAAAAGGAAAAATATATTTTCTAATTTTTTTAATGGAATTGAATAATTACTATGTATTAATCGTATTATTTAAGATTATGGGAACCAAAAACATTAGAAATAATACATAAAGAAAGAGAAATAAAGACTAAAATAAATTGTTTTTAATATAAAGACTGGTACAGATTTTTCATAGAAACAGTTATAAAAGAAGGTGTTAATTGAAAATATAATAAGATTTTTCAAAAGATAAAATGAGTTTCTATATAAAAAATAAAACAAGTTTATATTAAGATGAAAGAGTTGCAGCAGTTAATAATTAATTTAATGATATACAATAAATATTTTCTTTCTAATTATTAACACACTTATTCATTAAAAAATATATTCTTTATAATTATATATATATATATATATATATATATATATATATATATATATATATATATATATTCGCTTTAAACAGATATAAAGAAAAACTCAAAAACTTGTTATATGTAATGTTATCTTAGTTTAGTCGAACAATCTATGTCAAATCTTGGAAATTGTGCAGAGTGGTTTTAGAATTTCATGTTTTTTACTCTCTACTATATTTCTAACATGGTAATGATTAGGAAGATTTTGTACGTTAGGTACATAAATAAAGGTAAAACAGTCTTAACTAATAAATGCTTTATTATTAAAAAAACATTAATTAATAAAGATAAGAAGAATTAATTATGAAAAGTATTCAACAATTTTTTTGTTTAACACTTTCAATTTTATTAATATAACGTGGTGCACTGAGTTTAGACTTATTTCATTATGTAAACACTCAGATTCATTCTTTAAAAAAATGTAGACATAATAATTTAAAAATTGTCAAATTTTCATTTATAATTAATAAATTTATCATTGAAAATAATTATGCATAACATTTTTTTTATTAAACCACTATTTTACTTTTAAATTAAATTGTGAACAATAGAAATTAATCTATTCGTAAAGTTGATATGTATGTGCGTGGAAAAGTCGTAGTTGCACAGAATCTAGAAGCTCCCAACATTAAAGTTTTTCATACGATGAAAGAATCTTAAAATCGATAGAATACAGGAATTAGTATTTAAAAAAAATTGTTTCTCAACAATTTAAGTAATTATATTTTATCATCGTAGCTTTTGTATTGAACCATTAATTTAATAACGTAATTTTTTTATTAGTTTCTCGTATTTAAATCTGTCATATACACTTGCATTGATTATTATTTTTTTTTGAAATTATCTTCCATGATAATTGTATTTAATTTGAACATTGTATGTATCCACATAAATGATATACGTGACTTAAAAAAAATCCAATAAATTTGAATTTGTGTGACCAAATTTGGTCAAAATTTGGTTGTGTTCACTGAGTCAATTGTCATATTTTATGTGGACAATTCAAGAATACGTAATTTCTAAGGGAATAAAGAAGCAATTAATAAGATAATCATTGATAACCATTAATCAAGAATGTTTAACAACCCATGGCCTGCTGCCACGTAGGATCATACTTAATTAATAATCTAACAAACATGGCTTTCATTCTACCACAAAACTTTTAGATATTAATGCATTGTTGTTCCTTCCTTCATTTGTTTTTAAAGTTATTCTGAAGAAATTAAGAATAATAAAATAAATATATAAAAGAAAAAAAATTAATTATATTATATTGAAATATGAAGAATTTACTATTTAAAAAAATAATTTTGCTTATAAAGTAAACTTTATTTATATATTTTATAATTTTAATAATATTTCTACCTCCCAATTTTATTTTATACTTAACTCGTTGCTTAATAAAAAAAATTATCAACATTACTTGTTGAAATAACATTATTTAACAAAATAAATAATAAATAAATAAAAATCATTTCATAAAGATTTTGTCTCTAATATTCTCATTAATAAAAAATCATTTATCAATGTTTTTAAAAAAAAATCATTTTTTTCTTTTCAATAATAAAAAATCAACTAATTATTTATTTTTTATTATTATCCTTTTTACGTTTATACTTTAAAAAATAAATTTTTTTTGCTTAAATATTCATCATATTCAAATATTCTATAAATGATTAAACTTTTTTTTATAACAAAATTATTTTAAAATATTGAAAATCAATGTATTTAAAAACTAATATTTATTTATAAATGTGAATTTATTTTTTATTGTGCTTGAATCATGAAAAATAACAAAAATGAGTGCATATTTATTATTATAAATAATATATAGTTTTTCATATAATTTTTATTATTTATTTTAATTATCTATTTTTTTAATATACAATACTTTTATATGTATCAAAATAAATATGTGAATTTTTAATTAATTTTGTATGTTAAAATATTTTATCCTTATAAATAAAAATATACCATCGAAGTAATAAATCTTATTTAAAATGAAAATATATTATTTATAAACCTATCTTCTAATTTTAATAATAAATTAAAATGAAAATTGTTTTAAACTGTTTATAATTTACACCTCAGTAATATTTTAAAAAATCAAGATCTAAACCTTTTAATTTAAGTTTTATTTGTATTCTATAAAAGAACAACAATTTTTTTAAAGTGTGCATAAATAGACAAATTGAAAACATCTTGTTAACTTAACATGTGTTTAAGGGATACTTATTTGTAATTAACTATAATTTTAAAAGTATTAAGACATAAATGACTTTCTATTGACTTAGTAAGATCTAAGAAAAGTTGTGCAAATTGAAGTATAATCCTAAAAGTGTGAAGCTATTTTAATTTGATGTTCATTAGCATATCAAAGTTTGATTAAATTATACAACACAAATAGTATTAGTGTAATATTGTTAAAATAATTAAGGATTATTATTATTATTATTATTATTATTTTATTTTTAATATATTTTGAAGTAATATATATTTATTTTAACCTTAATAAACAATATTTCTATATATTAAATTATATTACATTTAATTAGTTTAATTTTAATTTAAAATTGGCACACTTTCTCTCCTACTTGGTCCAATTAACAACTGAAATGTATATCTTAGTGGATTGAATTAAAAGACTGTTCGCTAAAATTGATTGTTAAACATTATTTAACTGTAACTTTAAATTAGATAATTATGCTTATTTTAAAATAATTACCACGTTTCACATTTAATTTATTCCAAATTATTTATCATCTTGAAAATTAAAATAACTTTTTGTTAATTATTATTATCATTATCATTATTTTATTACAATTTTAATGATTTTAATAATGATGTAACACTTTTAAAAAATGTTATAAGATAGTAAAATATATATTTTTTAAGTCAATTTAAAAAACATTGTCACTGTCATTGTTTTCTTTTTTGGGTTTTGAGATAATGAACTCAAAAAGTGAACATTTTCTGCACAGAAAATAAAGGTTTGTCGCAAGACACGGTTTCCAAACGACTCAAAGTAGC